AAAAGTTGTAGTCTCTAACATGTCTAACTGTGGGTTCCTTCTGAACAATCTTCAGATTATAACAGGTTCAGAGGATGGGACTGCACGAATCTGGGGTATTATTTATTTCGTTGTGTCAGTAATTGTAACAGAAAAGTAACATGATAAATCGATGTATACCAATTACATTTTGTGCGGCTTCCTTATAGTATCCTTTTATTTTTGTGGCTCATGTACTATGTTCACTAGATTGCAAAAGTGGAAAGTGTATCAAAGTGATTGATCCTGCAAAAGATTTGAAGTCAAAAGGATTTGTTTCATGGATTAGTTCTGTCGCTTTAGATGCAAGTGAGAGCTGGTTGGTAAGAACGTATCTATTATTTTATAATTACCTTCATGCGCCTTCCCTCCCTTCCTTTATATATAGGGTAGACGTGTATGTATATGTATATTTTCTACGTGATGTTCTGGTAAGAGAAATGCGTTTGCTGACTTAGGACAATACGGTAGCTACCGCGAAGATGATTAAGAATTTTTTTGTCAACAATTTATTTTTGGAAACCAGAATAGTAGTGCACATAATAGCTTATTATTGGCTTCAACCATCAAATATTTATCCTTAAGACAAAAATAACAGTAATTTCTGATAATAAAACATTATTTCACTTTTTTAGTAGAAAAATAATTCTCTTTGCTAATAATTTCCTATTTCTTGAAGCGAATGTATCATATTAGTAATGATTACACTTCATAGGTGTCTTTTTTCTGTAGGCGTCAGGAAAATTAGTGCAATGCACACATACGTTGTAAAACGCAGTCTCCTGAATTTAAATATTAACATATCTTATGATAGTTTATCGATGTTAGGAGTATTTTGAGGGACTATTGTATATTGTCACCAATTACAGGCTTGTAGCTATGGTCGGAGTATATCGCTCTGGAATCTGCCTGCTTCAGAATGCATATCAAAGACTTCAACGGGTTCTTCTGTACAGGACATGTTATTTGACAACAATCAAGTGAGTAGATTATTGCTTTATCTCTTGAGGTGTTTTAAATACCGTCCCAATAATTTGGCTTTTATGGGCTTACGTTGGAGACAAGATTTTTGAAGAGTTAATGTAGCATTTGGTCCCTGAAATATTCTCATTCCATAGATTAAACCCTTGAAAGATAATTACCTTTAAATCACTCCAAACCTTCTGAAAATTATATTTATTCACTTCTGCAGCGAGTTTGTTAATATAGTTGCTCTTGTGGATTAAATTTCTTTGGCATGGCGGACGTGAATAATCAGCAACACATCTAGATACTTGACAATAGAAAAATAATGGCGTATTGACTTTGGGATAAAGGGATAAAAAACGGCAAGTTATGTTGTCTTCGTGTTGACATGGTTACTCGTATGAATAAACTTTCTTCACTTTGGAACATTGAAAGCTGACGTGAATGTTAACATGTCTAGCTGCTTGACAATACAAAGAATATCGTCTCCACTTGGACGACCCTGTTAACAGGTTAACAAAACTGATTATAGAATTGAATTTATATGCTTTCTTCAGAATGTTAGGACTGATGAATTTTTTTCCGAGGACTGAATAGCGGTTTACTTGGTTATGATATGGTATTGGAAAGCTTTCATTGTGTTGTATTTATACATATTATCCAATACTTAGTCTGTTAATGTTTGCATATCCATGTCAGATATTGGCAGTTGGTGCAGGTCATCTACTTAATCGATTTGACATGAATGGTGCGATCCTTTCGCAAATACAATGCGCGCCTCCATCATCTTTTTCTATCTCCTTACATCCATCAGGGGTATTGTCTTGATTTGAATTCTTCTTTTGTTATTAATACTTTTAGTTGATGTACATTCTTGATTCAATCTCGACTTGATTGGTGCATTTATGTCTCAGGTCATGGCAGTTGGAGGTTGTGGATGTCTTGTGGATGTTATCTCCCAATTTGGAAGTCACATGTGCACATTTCGCTGCCGAAGTCTTTAATCTGTGGTGCCTTTTATTTTGAAGAATATTGTAGGCTGCGCTTGTTTCATTGAGTAGTGAAGTTAAGGAGATTTCCCATTACCCGTTTTCCTGGTGCATATCTTATGGAACGGAGAAATTTATGTTCACCGGAAAGTCATAACTAAATTACTCTTGCCTTAACTTGGTTGCAGTTAAATATTATAATCCACGGTGATTACTTTAAGCAATACCGTCTTCCCTTCAATTTGTGTCAATTTAGTTACAGCTTGTTTAGAATGGTTTATAAGCAGTTTTTCAATCGTGATTTGTAGAATACAAGGTATATGAAGAGTTTATCTCGGTTTACACGAAACATGATTATAAGTATTTAAATTGGTCAATTCAAACCATCACTAAGGGCATGTTTGGATTAGTATTTGAAATTATTTATAAGTACGTTTTACGTAAGTTGAAATAAAATTCTTTTTATATATTTATTTTGTATTTTGTAAATTATAAGTTATTTATAAGTTATTCTAAATGGATTCTTAATAGGTTATTTATAAAGTGCTTGTGCTCAATAGGGCATAGGGAAGGGTACGAAGTAGCTCAAGTAACAATATACGGCTTTCACCTAAGGATGAAAATAAGTTAGGTCTCTATCAGGTGGTTTATAGTGTGGCCTAGTTAGAGCTGAACAAGCCTGTCAGGGTAGGCTAAGGCCTATTCAAAAGCATAAATGTGTAAAAAGGCCAGGCCTATTTTGTTAAGGCCTGGCCTGTTCAGGCAGTAAAATATATATAATTATTTTTGTATTATATATATTGTAATTATATTTTTTATTCTTATATTATAGTTTAAAAGTATAATTAGTTGCCTATTGTAATACCCTAAGATTTTGACACCCTCTTCATTCTAAAATATTCAGTGTCTTCTGTTGAAACCTAGCCGTCACCACTATCTTTCCTTGGCTTTCCATTTTTCTTCACGACCCAGACCGCGTTCCTCCATTCTTCCAGACTGTCTTTTTTCATTCTTCGCTCTTTCCTTTCTGTGATTTTCTTTTTAATAGATATTTCCTTACATGAATGTTTGTTTTTTTAATGATTGTCGGCAAGCAAAATTAATTCTGCACAACCGCAAACTTCCCCTCCTGAAAATGGTGATGAATGTGGAGACTTGACCTCCATTCAGACTTGCCCCGCAAACTTACATAGTTGCAATCCTTTTTTAAATGACTGTAGGCTATCGACGTCATTGCATGGATATTCTTTTTTTAAAAAATTTGACTATATAGTATTTTTGTGTTCTTTTTTCAGAGTATTAGTAGTGAGATCATTTTCTATAATTTAGATTTCAAATAATAACTCTTTGAATTAATTTTTGTTTGGATTTATTAAATTATATGAACTAAGTTTTCTTTGCTGGTAATAAAAAAAATTATTTGATAATATCGTGGAAGTTTACAAGGTGCAAGTCTTTAAACCTACTCAAAACCTGGTTAAGGTCTTCAAGATCTAATAAAGGCCTATATTTTAATTTAAGTAAACCTTTAAAAAGATTTTAGGCCTGACTAGGCCTTTTAAAAGCTGAGACTTGAGCATAAGAAAAAAAAAAACATATATATGGACTCAAGCTTTAAGCTTCTATTACAAGCTCAGACCTATTTGACTAAAACCTCGCCTAACCTATTTCCATCCTTATTTTCGGTCTCAAATATAAGAGTTAAATAAAGAGTTCACTTTGATTTTAAATATAAAATTTTAATTCACTTTGCTATTCAAATTTATAATTACTTGCTTAAAATATCCCTATTAATTATACACATTAACAAAACTCCTAATTAAAAAGTAGTTTCAACTTCCAATACACATAAAGGAAAAAATGGTTTAGGAAAATTAAGACTATTTGTTTAAAATACAACAATAAGCCTTATCTCATTAGGTGGGATGACTACGTGAATCGCACAATATCATTGTGCTCTATCAACAACTAAGTCCTTAGATATGTTGTTAACTAAGAGGTCTTGTTCAATGACTTCATTGAGTATTCTTCTCTATCTTCATCTGCTCTTTTTTATAGGACTCCAAACTGTCTAATTTACCATTCTCACCGATGCTTCAAATGGCCTTCTTTGCACATGGACTAACCGCCTCGAGCGATGTTCAACTATTTTCTTTTCGATAGACGCTACACCTACTCTTGCTATGATATTTTTATTTCAAACCTTATCTTTTCTTAGATGACCACATATTCATCTCAACATTCTCATTTCTGCTATCCCAACTTTATGCTCTTGTTTTTCCTTGATCGCCCAATATTCACTACCATACAATATAATTGGTCTTATAGGAGTTAGATAAATTTTTTCTTTAAGTTTCTCAGGTACCTTCTTATCACAAATAACTCTGATAGCTTTCCTCCACTTTAACCAACCCGCTTGAATTCTTTGAGAAACAGTCTCTATCAATTTTATTATCCTCATGTATAATAGATCTTAGATATTTAAACTTTGACACTTGAAGAATAATTTGATTTCCAGGTACCTAGACATTTGTTTTAAATAATTTGACTAATTTTTTAATATCCACAAATTAATTATCTAATTATATGCTAAACTCTTGTATTAAAAATTGAATATGGTGGTTAAAAATTTTAGAGTTAATACTTGCCGAATTCCCCCCCCCCCCCCCCCCCCCCCAAAAAAAAAAAACAACAACGATGCACCCGGACTAGGAATAAGACAAGCAGGAGAATATAAGTTGCTCCCCCCTGATGTTTGCTTCCGCCTCCCGTCTCTAATTTCACACAAGTTTATTAGAAGGCTTTATAATTTAGAAAGGCCAAAAAAAAAAATTCCAGACAACTATATCACCGAAAAGAGAAGTTCCTGACGCAATGTTCATAACTTCAAATTGTGAATAATCTCAAGGCAATCTTCATCTGATCTAAAAATAATCTCGATGCAAAGCGACGATAGTAAACAAAATCAATAGCGTGCATGAAACACTATTCTCCATGCAACTCGTTTAAAGAGAACTGCGAGCGGCCTAGCATCAAAATTCCAGAAGTTTTATTCAACACTACGTGGACGCGACACATTTGGGAGGCATCTCCAGATCACGAGTGTCTAACCCAAAACCATTTACAACTTCGTGATAGCTATTAAAAGAAGCCAGTTTCACTACAACATCAGCATTTATCATTGTACATGGATTGCCTTGGAACAACATCAAGAAATTGGGACTTGGAGATGCTCAGCCCATGGGACCAACTATCAAGGCAGAAAACATTTCCCGTAGAAAAAGAAAAATTGGGTAGCGACGTATCTACAGCAGTTCAAAGAAACTCGTCCCCTTGCATGGTTGACGATGAAATGCTAGCTTGGTTGACTTTCTTCTTCCGATTCATCAAGTCATGGTAGTATAGCAATACACACATAGGTTGGCCAAGAATACTGAATATGAACCAAAAAATCATATTCCCAACCTGGCAAGAAGAAAATAAATCACTTTCAGAATATGAAGTAACACTTTTTTTGGGGTTAAATTAGGAGGGTTTGAATGATTATTATTTAGATCTCATCCTACTCTTACCACCTAAGCCAGTCTCATGACAACTAATGACATAATACTTGGTAGAATAAAATGATCACATAGAATATTTACGAGGCATACCATTGAGCTTCTGAATTTGTTTTGAAGGTAATTTGTAATCAAGACCAACGGAACCTAGAAAAGCAGCAGCACAATCATGATTATTATTTTAAGTGAACCAAAACAACCAAAACTTCATCACAGATTTTGAATTACCAACAATAAAAGCTTAGGATAAAATTCAAAACTGGAGAACTACCAATTACTGCATCTTGTTTTCTTGGTCTAGATAATCTTGTGAATTATTGCAATAGGGCACTTAGGTCATGTTTGGTACAAAATATTAAGAATAAGAGGTGAGGATTGGGATTGAGATTGAGATTGATAAAACCCATTAAAAAAAGTGTTTAATATGAATCATTGCTTATACTACCTGGGAATGAGCAAACCATTGCTTATATTACTTGGGAATGAGCAAACCCATGCAGCTGGGATTGGATATTACCATAGAAGGAAGGGGTATTTTTCAATCCCACCTATATGGGTTTGCCCAATCCTAGTAGCAAGTAATATTTCATATTAAATACTATTTTAACGTATTTTTTCAATCTCAATCCCAATTCTTATCTTATCATTTTCAATGCTTTATATCAAATGAGACCTTAAACTCTAATGGTTGCAGTGGGGGGGGGGGGAGAGAGAAGAATGGTTTTACACCTGAAACATAATTCCAATAAAAGCCCACAACTTAAAGATATGGCAAGGAACGGCAATGCACAGCTGCATTCACATGGAACAGAAAGCATGAATAAAGTTAAAGTCAGTTGTCCTTGAAAAGTAAAAATATCAAGTTAATCATATTCGCTTAAGTACTTCAATTGATAGGAACCAAATTAACTAGTGGCAGGCTTCATCAAATATGGTCACAAGTGCACGAAAATAAGTCAACATTACGAATACACTATGAGAAGTGGTTCCTGACATGAAAACCTGGATTTTTTTACCAGATAATTTGTCATAATATTAGACCACCACATTAAATTTTGCCAGACCCCCTTTTTTGCATTCTAAACTCAAATTGATAATGCTATAATATATAAAAAATTTTGAAGATAGCAGATTGCCTTGTCAGAATCCATCTGGGACAGATTTAACACCTGTATGACATGTCATAAACCAAGCAACAGGCTTTCAGGTACTTGGTTTAGACTAGTCTAGGCTTAGTTCTTAAGGCCATTTGATATTTGCGGATGGTTCTATGATGATGCCTAACAGGCTAAAGTCATTGGCGACCTATGAGTGCAACTTTATATTTTTAACTTTTTAATCCACTCGACCAAATCCTGTCAAAGGAAATGCCGAAATGGATAGAAGAAAACACCAGGGGTGAAGTTAAACAAGCTCTAGCCAACTTTTTATGAAGCACCCACACAACCATCACATTTGATAATGTAATAAGAGGGAAACGGGCTGATATAGGATGAGCCACACACCTCATGGAACACAGCTGATACCAGGAAGGCGATTAAAATAGCAACACCCTGTACAGAATAATGAAATTAAAAAATTACAAGGTAATCTAGAACAGCAACATTTCAATGTTTAACATAAATCCAAATATCAGCCAACAAAAAAGAACTCAGTTTAATATTCATAACAGAGCTGAAAACAGAGAAAGAAAAGACAGATAAGTTATAAATTAACTCGGTACCTCTCCTAAGCTTTTTTAATCATGTGAGTCTAGAAGCATGCATATGCATATGCATGTTGAGCATGTGAGAGTCAATACTTGAAATTACGAACAGAGGCTAACTTTGACTACTGACTCTCAATTTTAAAGACCTCCACCAAAGAACCAACAAAACACATTTGATTTTGCAAAGAACAATCCAATGGATCAACCAAAACATAGAACTAAATAAACAAGAATGAAGATGATGAAATATGTGTCATTTTGCATATGCGCTCATGCACCCACAAGCTCCCAAGCTTTCCCAAGTAAATCCAGTCCTTGCTCTCGCTGCATGAGTACAATTAACACAGGCTTTTTTTCTTCTTTTTTTTTTTGGTAGAAAATTAACACAGGGTTTTCTAATAACCATATGGCGTAATGATGCTTGTTACTATGAGATTGCAATTTAATATATGAACCTATCTTCCAGAGGGTTTTTCAATTTTATGACGGTAGCACCATTCCTAAGTTGAGTTTCTGAGAGATGCCCACATGAAATGTCAATAGCAGCCAAAAGTGCTTTAATAAGTGACTCGATTATCAAAGGTACCAACTGTAATGTAGTACAATTATCTATTTTTCCATATATAAAGGAAAGCCATGTATGCAAAGGGGGCAATCAGAAATAAAGAGAAACTAGTGACGCCATCGTGACTGGGTTTGGGGAAGCTCATATCAGTTTCCTTTCTTTTTCATATCTTTGGATCAACCACCTTCCTTCTGATGGGGATGGACTTGGGGCCTCAATTGCAGACACATTATAGGAGTTTGAAGAAGGCAAGAGACTGGCATTTGCTGGCTCATACTAGGAGAAGTAGGAAGAAGAAAGAGGAGGGTCCAAATGAGACTTCAGAAGGCAAGAGACTGGCATTTGCTGGCTCATACTAGGAGAAGTAGGAAGAAGAAAGAGGACGGTCCAAGTGAGACTTCACAAGGCGAATGAGGAACTGTCATACCTCTGGCCGTTAGAAGAGACAGAATTTGGGATATAGTCAAAGGCACAGCAGGGCCAGAGGAAGGTAACAGGATTGTGAGAGAATTTCCATTGGAGAGCCTATGCCTATCAAATGCATAGGAACCTCGGCTTAGTCTTTATTTTCTTCTTCCTTTTGCTGATCCTGTAGCTAACCCTGTAAGCCCTACACTCCTATCAGGATGTTATATGAATAAACAATATAATTCAGGAGTTGGATTCATCACCTTCCCAATATCATGGGGGGAAAACAGGTGGCAATAGCAAATAACCATACGTGTCAATTATGATTTATCAGATGTCATATCTTTGCAGTTTGCTTTATTTTTAATTGATTTGTTTAGTATCATTAAATTAGCACGTAACGTGCCTCCTATTTAAGTCTGTTATAGGTAAAATGCAACACATTTTCTTTTTTCAAAATGTTCATCATCCTCTCTTTCAATGAAGATATAAATAAAGTTAATTGTGCAATTGAAGGAAGAGAAAGGAGTTCCTTCCAACAACTGCAGTCTTCAATGTTCCACCACCCTCACCCAACCAAAAGGAAAAGACAAGCTATAAAAGATAAAAGATAGCTATAGAAGTGATGAACACTGGCAGATGATAAGACAAGCAATGTGCTTGACTAGTGAGAAGGAGATTCTTGATTGCTCAAGTACCTTGGGTATACCATTCCTTAAGCATGGAAAATATAAGTGGCGGACCATCCATTTGTGCACAGGCTGCGATGGGAAAGAATCAACTCAGCCATACAGTGATGAATTAAAACAACACTTGTAAACTGCACAAACATTCTCCAATAAAGTTCTAGAATTGTTAGGGTTGTGGTAAAACTCAAGCCAACCATACATATTTCATCAGACATCTATTTGGGCCCAAAATACCTAGCATCATATATTATTCTGGTTTACTTTCGTAGAAGTTATATGAAATTCATATTAGTAAAACACTTGCATTATAGTTGGTTGTACACCATAGAATCTGTTCATATAAAGTGTAATACTGTAGTAAGTTCTCTCTTCATTGGGGTCTTACAACTTGAATCGCAAAGTAGAATTTCCATGCTTCTCCAACTCACAAAGCAACATAACATTGTTTTTTTTTTTTTTTTCAATACAAACAACATAACATTGTTTTAATAATTGATATATCAACACATTCAAGGACTCAATTAAGGTGCGTCTCCTAAAAAGATCACTATGTTTACACTACTACACCAGGAACTACCATGAAAGTAGACAAAATTCAAACAATGATTTTAAAAATTTTGAGGAATTTCAACGAGATCAAACCTTATACCACATCAACAAATTATGCTGTGCACAAAAACTTCGAAGTTCAAAATAAGTAAACATAAAGAATTGGAACCGAGCAAAAAGATGAGAACCAAAGCAAATGACCGAAGCGAAAATAAAAATCAACTCAACAAACTTCGTCGCCTAAATAAAGTCTGAATAGGTAGACATACCATGTTCCACATTCTCCAGTACTGATGACATCAGCAGCATAAACGCAACCAACAGGGACAAAAAGGGTCAGAAATTCGGTTCATGAAAATATTTTAAATAAACAACCAGAAATATGCCAGAACAAACAACTACCTCTTCGACAGTTTTTGCATTCCACCAGTCTTTATAAAACTCACGATCACCAAACCGAAGAAGCTCAGCAAGTATATTGAGCCTACATTGCAGTACTGCATCTAAGCATAGACCATTCCAAAAATAAATCATATCTAAAATGTCAAAGCTGTGCTTTCAAATTTAATAATTGGAGATGGACTATCCCCCGCAGCAAAACAAACAGTTTCATCAATACTTTGCCCTCTGGTTCCTCTGTATTTTTGTCAAAAACTCCCTGAACGTAACCATGGGCAAAGCAACAAAAAGAACACACAATTCATTATACATCTTGAAAGTCATGTCTTTTAGATGACAATAATCACCACGAGTACACGTATTAAAACTAACTAGAAATTCCCATCAACATTGCAGTGGTTCATAGGGGATATCATTAGAAGGAAATTATTTATCTGTATATAGACATGCCAAGCTGAAAGACAGATGAGGGATGTAACACACACCAAAGGTGAAAAAAGCAGTAGAACATGCAGAGCCACACATATAAATTAGGAACAGAAAGCTTGAGGACTCTTTCGAGGGCATATAGGAGGTTTCCCTTCAAAGGATGTTCTGAATTTTGGACGATAGGATTAATATACTGCAAAAACAAATTATCAAATAGACGTCAGAATATATTAACATGTACAAAGAAGATAATTCGAGGAATATATAAGAGGTACACAAGAACATTTAATAGTTGAATAAATGCTGCTTACTTGTTCTATGATAAATCCCATAACTCCAGTAAATACTATCAGCTTAATAAGCTGACGAAACACCCAACCTTTTCGAACATACGGTGTGCGGGGATAGCTTGGCTATATCATCAAGTTGACAAAAGAGAATGCATTAAACAAGTTAATGATGGAGATTCAGAATTATACTCAGGAAAAAATTATTCAGGCAAATTCAAACAAATCATAGCAGCATTTACATAGGCACAAGCAACTCGAGTAGATTGAACATGTTACTGTTTAGAACTTAGATGAATCACAAAACAAACTGAGATAACAAACTGTAATGAAGACTGCAATTCAATGCTAAAAGAAAATACAGTTTCGTCCCTTTCCTGTTGATGAATGACAAACGTCACACAAAATGCAGCTCTCATATATGACCAAACAATAAAATAACGGTGAATCCATGACTTCTGAAGGGCACCAGAAAATCAAAGTAATGATTAAGGGATATATAACCAACAGCATATATGCTTGAAAATAGTAAAATGCAATAAGGAAGTGAGCATAGTTTTCCATGAATGGAGGGCACGATTGATGCTCGAGTGTGAATTTTAAAGCCCTGTTATCAAATTCCTAGCACAATGATTGACGGTAAAAACTATCCAGCTTTTTGAAGGCATGTCAAAATAAGAACAAGGGTTAAACGGTGGAGATAAAATACAGGAGAAGCAGTAAAAATACTTCCCCAAGTGAGCATTCATTGAAGCCAAGCAAGAGGCTTTCAATAAATTCCAGCTAGGTAATTACTAATGCAGCAAACTAAAATAATCTAAGTTTGAGCCCTAGAAAGATTCCTTGGGACCAGAACCACATGGCCTTGCAGTGCGATTAAAGATTAGTCTTTGCATGGACCATAAAATGGATAGATGGGCGACGCCTCTCAGTTTACAATTAAAAAAAACACATCAACTAATTTCCTAGGACAAGATCATAAATCCTTCCTGTATCACTTCTGACATCAACTCTAACAAAACATCCCAGATAAAAATTTGGCAGCTCTAAATAAATTATATAACAGCCTTTTATCCATTAGGATGAAAAAAAATACTTGAAAATGTAGAACATTCTGCATTAAAAAAATAAATAGATAAATTGCTAAGAAGTTCCACCACCTGGTAACATAATGTAGGAGCAACCATGAAGTATGCCAAGCTCTTCAAGCTCACGTTGAATTGGCACTCTATATTCAAAGTATTGGGTAGTGCTTCTCCCTGTACGACAGAAGAATATTGAGTACAATGATTTTTTTTGGGGGGGGGGGGGGAGGGGTTTCAAAAAAACAGTAATTTATCATTGTCAGAAGGAATTATTGCATAATATTACTTTGCTGTAAGAACGAATGAAGGGGGAAGTAAGTAACCTTTTCAATTGATCTAGCCATTGCTCTCATATCATAGTTGGTGTGAGCATAAGACACCAGTTTTAACCAGACGATGCAAGCCAAAAGCATCAATACAATGCCTGATAAAAAAGCAGAATCACTCCTGCAAAAAAGGACCACAGATCATTAAAAATATCTTCACACTATACCTATCTAGGGAATGGCCAGGTATTCCCATCAGATTAGTTATTTTATTCATCAATTAGACAAATTCACTTCCACCGACGCTGTCCGTTGAGGGGGTCAGAGGAGACAGTATCTCTCCCTATAAAGCAGGATTCAATTCTTCTAGTAGTAAAATCCTAAACGCATCAGGCAGACAAGGGTAAGTGCACTATCCACATCACCCGTGAAAAGGACTTAGTCTAGGCAAAACCTAAATAAACTCCTAACTGTAATACCCAAAAAAGACATCTCATGGCTGGTTAATGGCCTGCAAAAGTTACACTTGCATACTTACAGTGGACCAATTAGATGTCTGCTTGCTTACACAGTGCAACAGAATCGTTTGCTTCTGGCATTCCTTCAATCCTTCCGGCCCTGATGCCCCTGGAAGGAGGGGGTAAAGGGGTTCTACCGATTCGATTATATAGTTTCAAAATAGTCTAAAAGATTGTCTATTCAATGTCTATGATCAATCAAAATTCTTATTCGCTGATTCTGAAACTTTTTTATTTTCTTTTGCTTGTCATAAATGATCGGTTTGCCTGTAATGGATGACACTCGTTAGGAATGTTTGTTTAAATTTTTCCTCACTGATTAAGCTAAGTCGATGAGGAAAAAGGATTATACTCCAAAACATCAAACTATGGTTTGCAAAAGGGCTTTAAATCCCTCCTTAAATACTGTAAGGATCATACTAGATTACGTTAGAGTTCTTTATTTGTTACACTTTGAGCAACTGGAACTCGTACCCTGGAAGCAAAATCTTCCCAAATGGACATACAATGGTGTTACCAGTAACATAAAATGACGGTGTAATATGAACCTCCAAATGAATTTTAGTCTCCAGGGAAGAATCATACCAACCTGAGGATTACTAAAACCGGGTATAACACTGCAGCTGACGTACCGGTTACATGTAGTAAAACAACAACCTGAGATATTCCGGTCAATGTTCCCAAACATGTAAGTTGGAAAGCTGTGTTCCCGAAAAGCATTAAACCATAAAACATTTATCGGTTCAAACAGACGAAGAAGGCAAAGGACAGCGAAATCACTTCTAATTATTTAAAAAAAAAAAAGCAAGGAAAAATCACCTACTGGATCAGGTATATACTTCTTTTGCGCCAATTTTTCCACTGCAAAGGCAGCAACAGGAAATATTGCAAGGGAGAGGCTGCAAAGGAAGCGCTGTTAAAGGTATATAACATCAAATGACTAATCCAAACAAGGATTCTCGAACGTCCTAAAAATCATCAAGGAATTAATCGAAGGCATTACCCACACATGAAGAGTGGCCAGTCTCTCAATGATCTTGAGCTAAACCAAAAGTCATACTTAATCAACCAACCATACTGAAACATGAAAATAAATAAATAAGAAAGACAAAAGTGAGCTGTCAAAATTCAGAGATACTTCTGCAGAACGGGAAATGTAAATTGCTCAGAATGAATAGAAGGAGTAAATGGAATAGGCAAACCTTCATTAAATTCTCAATGATGAGTCGACTGTTCACCGCAACAAGCACTACAATACAGAGGTTGAAAAGGCCCGCGTGACTCTGCAATTCGTAGATTATTTAGTAAAATTCTGCCGAGCCGAAAAAACAACTTGTTCATAAAAGCATCAAGAAAAAGAGCCAATTCGTTAAGCTGGAGAGAATTTCACTGCAGCAACCTGTCTGAAAATTTTGTCGGAGCTGAGAGGGCTTTCCTTGATTCTGCGATGAGCCGGAACCGAAGGACGATAAGCAAACTTCAGGGCGGAAACATCAGGGAGCTGCTCTGGAACCTTCTGGCTGATCACATTGGGACCTTCCAACTTCTGATTGCCATCTTCGGCGCCGGCCTTGGAATAATTGGAGCCAGAATCTCTGAGAACATCCTCAGCAGAACTCTCAGCTTCAGAAGCCTCAGGCCTAACAGAAGACCCGGACAGGGGCCTTCGACGAAGAGAAGCAAGATTGAGATCCAAATCGCTGTGAACGGAGGCAGAAGTAGTAGTAGTAGTAGTTGCAGTGGCGGTGGTGCCTACACTTTCAGGCACTTGAGAAACAGCCATGGAATAGAGAAGAAACCAAGCCCTTACACGATCACACAGAAACTAAAACAGAAAAAACAAAAAAGACTTTCTGATGAGAATCCTACTATTAACTTGATATTGAGAATAGAAACTTCATGCAGGAAAGAGGAATCCGAAGAATGTGGGGCGAGAGATAAAAGAAGAGAGAATATTGAGGAGGAAGAGGATTATACATTGGATTTGGAATAGAAATCAAAAGGAAATCAGGGGGAAAGCGAGGAAATGACGCAATGGGTTTTGGGGTGTGTGAGATTAGAATGAGAATGAATAAATAAATATGAGATGTAAATGGAATAATGAATAGAATAAAGAATAGTGAGCAGGTGAAGCAAAGCGCTTTAGGAAGACAGTTTTGGGTTGGATTAGAAGGAAACGACTAACGAGCAAGGTGAATGAAGGAACTGGGAAGGCTGTGGATGCAGAATGAGACCGTTGGAAGGTTCCTTGTGATGACACGAAAGATCTGAGGAGGCATCGCCTCTGCTTGCCACGTAAGCCCGGCTGCCCTTTCTTAACGTCTAAGCGGAACGACACGTCGACACGACCTCTTCTCTGGGTTCTCTCCCTCTCCACCCTTGTTTTGTTTCCCACTAAACTACATTGCATAAATCAACCAAGCCAGGATTTAGAAGATCTTTAGTTAGAAATAAAACTATAATTTTAAAAATACTTTTATGATATATGAAGTAAATATGTGACAAAATTTGTCTCTATTTATGAACAAAATATTTTTAAAAAGTATTTTTTGGTTACTAAATACTCTCTTAGATTAAATTGGTTAATATCTTAAAACATGCCAAATTTAAAGTTTAAATCCTCTGTTGGTAAGAGGTGATCTTTTGTAGTACAGCAGAATTCTTTTCAACAGGAATCTGGTTTAAAAAAAGCATTAGATAGCTAATTTTTAAAAATTTAACAAAATATTAGTGAAAATTAATTATTTTTGTCTTTTAACCATTTGCATTCAAAAAATAAAAAACCCACTTAACATACACTATTAATTGGGAGAGTTTAGAAAAAAAACTTATAAATTTGGAATATAAAGTAACTTGAAGTTGAAATATTATATTTAGTATTAAAATAAACCCTTCTCCCAATATATTTAGATTGGAGAGAATATAATTTGCAGAATACGTATGTATGTATAACTAACAGATGAAGCATAAAACTATCCCTCTCATTATCTATCACTTCTCAAGCCTCGTGAGTACAAAAGAACACGTATTGAGTCCCTATCAAGTAGCAAACTTTTGTTGGTTGCTTTGCTTTCAATAATATTTATTATATATGCCTTCAATATTTTACAAAAATTGATGTGGTCCATGCTTCATATAGAAATTGGGATAAGTTTTAATATGCATAACTTATAAATAGTGCTTCTTCTTTCAAAATTTATAAAATATAGGCATGTAAAATTAATTTTAAGGGTAGAAAATATGTCCAATTTCCATAATTTTATCAATTTATATTTTTTTCCTTATTTTTCAATGACAATACTCGTGAAAATTGAGCTAGATTATGTAATTTGATTGGTAAATGAATGTTCTAATTTTTAATTTAGTTCAGAGTACTTCAAAGATATAAAATAAAAGAGTCAAAAAAATTGGGTAAAAAAAATTGTTTGTTTTCTTATATAATCTTTACATAATTATAGTTTAAAATACATTACACTAATTGCGATTGATTGAACAGATCAATTGTATTCAAATCGAAAAAAGGGTCAATATACCAACGTATATTGTATAAAAATAAAACATGTAAACTTTTTATTTTACATTATTCATTATGTATTAATATGATTATTTATTTATTTTTGAAATTCTGTTGTTTTAAAAAATTTCTAAATTTTTTTCGACAAACAAAAGAGATTGACACTTGTTTTAAACTAATTTTAGCCGAGCGAACAATAAGTTTAGTTTTGACCACATAAGTTGGTTTGAAAGCAAACGAATTTTATAAAATATTTCAGTTATATCTATATTATCTATATTTTATACTGGGTCCAAGCTATATTTATATTCTATTATATTACCTGTTCTTTAACCAAACTTATTTAGAAAATTCATGTTTTGCAATTTTTTCCTAAAGATGCACGTAATTGTAACCCCTCTCCGTCCTTGGTCTTAAATCGTTCGTTGTCTTCTGTACAAGAAAAGAATCAAACGAAATTTACGCTATATACTTCGTACAACACCAAATTACCAATCCCCAATCCTCCCCTTTTGCTCTTATCCCATCTTTGGCACGAGAGAAATAGAGGGAAGGGGGGAAAAAATTTAGTGAGTTCAATTTTAGAAATTAGGAAAATGGGGTTTTAAAACTTTAATAAAATTTTAATAATGAGTTTAATTTTAAAAATTAGAGAAATGGGATCTTAATCAAGGTCGTATCGTAAGCAAGGTTAGAATAATTGCTGTCAAGACTCAACTATGGTTCTTAGAGTTGCAATTAGGACCCCACGAAGTTAGTTAAAATGTGTACGTGTATTAATTGAGATATACTTCATATACCTTCCAAACTTTATAGAAAGATGATCAAAACTCCTTGCGGAATTCAGATGCATCTTAAACACAAACTTATCAAGAATTTAAGTGAAGATGATTGTTCCCATCATCTTCATCTTCATCCTTAACAATGCCAAGGTGAAGAGGCCTCTAGAGGCTTATAATAAAGGATATATATGGTTATACTATTTCTAATCCTTCATATAAGAGTTAATTGACTACTTTAAACATATTAAAGAAATTATTTAAATTAGTTATTTATAATAAATATGTGTTGTCTTCTCTAAAATATCATTACTAATTATATATATTAACTAGAACTACTTTTTGATGAAACATTTAACATCTTAAATCTTTACTTTATCTTCTAATATTAATATTTATTAATGATCTATTTAATGTTTTTACTAAATTCACTAAATTAAGGATTAATATTTATTAATGATCTATTTAATATTTTTACTAAATTCGCTAAATTAAGGCGTAACTTTATAATTTAATTGAAAACACATATAGATATAAAGATACCAATAGGTGAATGAAAGTTGGATTCCAAAACTGAAAAAAAAGTTTATGTAACATGTATTCTGATCTTGAGGAAGGTTCATATAGGTTTCTAAAACAAAACCAAAAAGTCTCTGTAATTTATATTAAATAGAAAAGAGATTTACGTTTCCCTTCTAATAATCGTCTCATTATTGAGTGTAGCTTGTGCAGACTAATTAAAATTAAATAATAAACATAAATTGTTCACACTCATTTATCTTCATTTTTCACCATTATTGGCAAGAGACTTTTCAAAAAAAAAATCCTCCACCATTTAATTATGATTTTACCTGACTTTATTAATCCAACTGAAATTAAATTTTACATGATTTAATTATATTTTTATCGATTGAGTGATGTTTATAATATACAATTTATTAATGTATGAGATCTCCTCAATGATAAGTATACATCTTGCTAGCCGGTCCCACCACAAAAAAAAAAGGGGTATACACCTTACTAGTTCTAACTTATACTTGCATTTTAAGAAGAATAAATGTGGGGCCTTCCATTTCTTAACCAGATTATTAGTTTAGCACTAGTTAGGTTGGGCCAAATTAAAGATCTAACTATAGGTTCTAACTGTTGTTCATAATTTAAGTTGCCAGTCAATTTACAGGAACAGGAAGAGCAGGAACGATCACTAGAAACAGACTACCATAATATCAGCTTGTAGAAAATGATGCACGAGCTATAGACTAAGAAACGTCTAAATAATTGAGGAAGTAATGTAATTTAACATTATAATTAATAGCAGAAAAATTGGCTGCAAGAAATGCGTAACAATGGCCATACACGATATTGCCAGACACTAAGGGATTCCACAGTGTAAGTAATATCTTACCACTTAGACAACAGATAATTTAAATCAAATTACTACGCCTATTAAACAAGGTTTAATCTTTAAAATTGGAGATCTAACAAAATTGGAAAGGGAAAAAAAAAAAAGGCATTACATAATAGTTACCCAAGAGAATCCAACTTTCCTCTATTTCTGATGGCAACTTTCCTCTATTAATGATGGAAGGCAAAATCTCATTATAGGAGTTCAGCAACATTAGATGGCAGCTCCTCAATTACCACATTATAAAATCTCTGGATGTCAAACAGCATTCTTTCGTCGTCCCTTGTCACAAAATTGATTGCAACACCTTTCCTGCCAAACCTCCCACTACGACCAATACGATGGAGATAGTTCTCAGGCTGAGTGGGAAGATCATAATTAATAACTAGTGACACTTGCTGGACATCAATACCACGAGCCAAAAGATCAGTCGTTATTAAAACACGAGAAGATCCAGAGCGAAATTCACGCATAATAATATCTCTGGTATTCTGGTCCATGTCTCCATGGGTTGCTGAAACTGTGTGGTCCCGGCTTCTCATCTGGTCAGTAAGCCAGTCAACCTTCCTTCTGGTGTTCACAAAAATGACACTCTGAGTGATGGCCAATGTTTCATAAAGATCACAGAGTGTGTCTAGCTTCCATTCCTCTCTCTCAACATTGACATGAAACTGTTTTATGCCCTCCAAGGTTAGCTCATCACGCTTCACAAGAATTCTAACAGGTTTGTTCATAAACTTCCTAGTGATCTCGAGCGCCTCAGGAGGCATTGTAGCTGAAAACACTCCCACCTGAATCTGGGACGGAAGTAGCTGGAATATATCATAGATCTGATAACAAGAACATCAGGGTTAAAGCAGTTATACAAATAAATGGGCCTTCTAATCACAAAAGTTCCTGCAGAAGTATCAAGGCAACAATGACGAGCAAGAGCATGTATAATCTTCAAGTTAATGTAAATATAAGTCATTCGTATAGCAAAAGAAATTTCAAATAAAAAGTAATACATACCAAGGAAGTTCATAGCTCTTAGAAATGTTAAACTGGAATTAGTCTGAAACATAACTAATTTAACAGCCATCCAAACTTACTTAAGGCCCTATAAAGTAACTAACGGAGTTACTTTTGACAGAGTCAAGTGCTCTTGCAAGGTTTCTAAGAGTGAAACTACATTAATTTGCATATAGACATACAGAAATATGCAGACACGTCTACATATTTACAAATAGACACAGATCAACTTGTACGTGCAAGTGATATGGAAATTATTATAAAAGTACCTGATCTTTAAAACCTCGAGAAAGCATTTCATCCGCCTCATCCAAGACAAACATCTTGATGTAATCTGGCCGAAGTGACTGCCTGCGCAGCATGTCAAATACGCGACCAGGGGTACCAACAACAACATGAACACCACTAGATAGAATACGTTGGTCTTCACGAACACTAGTTCCTCCAACACATGCATGCACCTTCACACCAAGATAGTCTCCAAGTGCTCGCATAACCTTCTCAATCTGCTGAGCAAGTTCTCGAGTTGGTGCTAATACCAAGGCCTGGCATTCCATCAAACTATAGTCAAGCTGCTGCAAAACCCCAGAGCAGAAAGTTGCTGTCTTTCCAGTGCCAGACTGAGCCTGCTGAATAACATCAAGTCCCTTGCAGAAGGGAACTATTCCCCTTTGCTGTATAGCCGAGGGCTTCTCAAATCCTATGGTAAAAGTAAAAATCATAATACTTTATTAATTTGAGAGCTCAATATGCAGGATGCAGCCAAAATTATTTTTTCACCAAAAAAAAAAAAGACAGGAATGTGCACCATGCCTTATTCATCTACATATAATATTAAAAAAAAAAAAATCTAACAAGCAGCACTGCCCATAAATCAGCAACATTGCGGCTCATTTCTCATATTACATACAAATGCACAGCAGCCACAACAGTTATTTTATTAATATTAATTAATAATAAAGATAAACACCAAGCCCGTACATATAATGACATTGTCCATATATTTGAAGCAGTAATAACCCATGACTAAAAACTCAAACAAAGAGTTTAAAAACTACGCAATACATTAAGGAAGAATAATCCAACGGACATTTATTACATTATATATAATCAATTCCATGCAACTGTACTGCAAGAAACACTATCTTTTGAACAAAATTAAAATTTAGTACAAAAAGGATAAAATCTACCATATGCATAAATGCCTCTGAGAAGATTCTCTTTCAAACCCATGTCATCAAAACTATCATGAGCCTCATCATAAGATGTAAAGAACTCCTGCCCGTCAGCTGCACTGTGCACACACAAAAAAGGCAGTAGGGCAACAATAGACAAGAGCAGCAACTCTAATAAGCAAGCCAATAAAACCAGATAGAAACCTATTAATATGAAATTCTGAACAAGTTAAAGTTCTTACAGTTCATTCATTTTTGAATCATATTGACGAGCATCGAACGGTGAGCTATCGGGTGCTACTCCAGCCATGACTGCATGAAAGAAAGAACAGTTATACCCGTAATTTATTCAGTAATTATAAAGAGTACAACTGGGAGTAGATTAAAAAGAAAACCTTTACACAAGAATGATGTAGGAACGAAACAACAAAATAATAAAAAAATAAAATAAAAATCTTTGAGGGATCGGGGGGTTTGACGGCAGGACGTTTGAAAATAGAATATTTCTCAAACATAGCGGTGTTTCTCAGCGTAAAAAAATTTGACATTTTGAACTCAGTCACCCACAATCCAACCAAAAACTAGAAATTACGAGAAGTATGATTGACGTGCAAGAGCATCATAAGCAGATCCACAACTAAAACCTCAAGAATAACCTAAAAGAAATATCGATTAAGATAGGAGCAAAATTAGAATAAATCTAAACAAACTGCGCTATTACAAAGCAACCCAAATATTGAGGACGGTATTATAACAAAGACCTTTCGGATGACGAGTGGTTTTGTAGAAAAAACCAAAAAGGGGAAGGCGGTGGCAGTATGTAGCTGATCGAAGAGTGGTATTGTTTTGGGAAAGCAACTAGGGCTTCCCAAACTCCTCGGATCTACGCCGCGGAGTCGAGGAAGTTGAACGAAGAGCGATTTCCTAAAGCGAGAGTGCAACAGTTAACCCCAACTACAAAGGTGTTATACGGTTTATACCGTCCGGGAGCAATTTTCGGCGTACTTGAATTTGCCCCGAGTTAATCGGTTCAGGTTAAGCTCTTGGATCAAACCCGTACATAATGTCGTCATGAACTGGACTTCAGCCCAAACTGGCCCACACCTTTATTAAGGCCCGTCTCATACCAAGGCGGCCACGGATGAACATGCATCGTGATCCTCATCAAAAATACAATAATTGTACTGCTACGACTATGGATTCCTTGGCCCAAAAGAAAAAAACTCTAACCGTTTGTTTTCTATAATTTCAAGGGCTAAATTTTATCAGACTCAGAGCCACAGGGACAAAATTACACGAAATCAAAATTTAGAGATTGAATTACAATTAGGTTATTTCTTTTCATGAACGGATTACAGCCAGATTCGTTTCCTAGGGTTTTAACGTCATTGTAATTCATTCACCAAAAAAAAAAAATAATTATAATCCAATCTCTAAATTTTGACTCTGTAATTTTGTCCCTCTGATTCTGAGTCTGATGAAATTTAAACTTTAATTTATTGCACTTCAATTACTTGAAAATGATATTCCCAGGTTGTGTTTTACTATATTTTATTCATTTATTTAAAATAAAATTAAACATATTCAGTACTTCTAGAACTTTGATCAATACTTCAGATTCTGTTGAAAATTTGCTATCTTAAAGCTCTCGTTTTTAAAATGTTTTACCTTTCGGAATTGCCTTCTAATTTTGCTAGAAATCCTTGCCAATGATTTATTGACATGTTTTGGATATCACATTTGCGTTTAGCTTTGCACATTTAGCACGGGAGTCAACACAACTTTAATGAGAATTAGGAATTTGTATCCTTTTTCTGAAAGTACTTTTGAAATGCAATCCAAAAATGCTCTAATGTGCGAGATCTTAGTGGAGCTACATTGAATTACTTTGATAGTGCTACAATTTTATAAGTGACAAACTTAAGCCAAACATAATAGTAGAAGCTCTGAATTTTTTGGATTACAATTATAGTTTTTCTGATATGTTGTGTGAATTTTTTCATCGTAGTCAGCGCCACCTTGGTCGTAGCATAGGAGTCGCTGGCAATGGGATTAAGAATGAATTTCTGGGCGAAAAATGCCATTATTTTGTTTGTTCCGAAGCAGAAGCCGCTGCTTCAGACTCTCATCGGAAAAGGGTCAAACCTTGGAAAATGGAAGATTTCAGATCCAAGTCTTACGGCAATGCGAGGATACAGAATCAGATTGAGCCCTATTCTTGCTCTGGAACAGCATCATCTTCAGCTGGGGTCCGTGACATGCGAGATCTTAGGTGTTACAGTGCTTCATATGCTTCCTCTGCTGCAAATTCAACTCAAAGCCAAATGGGAAACGGTGTGAATTACAAGTTCAAGAAAGGTAGGTCCACAAACAGTTCTTCCTCTAAGAGCTGGAGTTTTGCTGATCCTGAGTTGCAGAGGAAGAAGAGGGTTGCTAGTTACAAGGTATATGCTGCTGAAGGTAAATTGAAAGGCTCTCTGAGAAAAAGTTTCAAGTGGCTCAAGGACAAGTACGCCAGAGTTGTCTATGGACTGTAGCAAGTTTTTAGGAATCATCTTGGTGAAGGGTTTGAACTTTGATTCAGAAAACAAATGACTGCCCTTTCTCGTTTGCTGGTAGAGCTCATGGGATGCAGTAGAGAAATTGTGATCGAAGAGTTGGTTCCGGATCCTGTAGAGTGTAGTCTTCTTGGCCGATCATGGTCCATGGAAAGAAGACACGTTTCTTTTTCTTTTTTTTCCTTGTTCTTTTAAATTTCCTTTGCTATGTATCTAAACTCAAATAAATGCAACTTTGTTTTCATGACATATTTCTCAAAAACCGATGAGCTTAAGCTCAGGAAGGGGCTTCTGTGGTTTCAAAAATTGCCTATGGAAACAGAAATTCCAGTTGCATCATCACTCTTGTAGTGGGTTCCACAAATTTTGTCTGAGCTGGATTCATTTCTCTGCAATTTCTGGAACTATTGAACCTCACTTGATGTTATTTTGTTTAACATACTACAGTGTCAATATGATTATATGAATGTGCAGTGCACTATGACATCTTCACTTTTGTGTACATCTGCATAATATTGTTCTGGCCTGGGGAGAAAGACAAGGGATACTATACCCGTTGTTCTGAGATGTAATACTTTCGGATATGGTTAGGAGCCTTGTGCAAAAAGTGTTCTGAAATCTACGCAGATTAAGCAATCCAAGTTACTGTTCAAACGCATTTAGACGAAATCTTCTGATTTGCAATTGCAATTTGAGCAAAGCCTCTAGTTGATTACTTTGAAGAAGGGAATGAAACTTCAATGTGGGGATCACAATTTGGCATTGTGCATCAGAGGGTGACTACTGTCCAGGCTTTTGTTGCAGTATTTTCACACCACTGTTTCTTCGTTAAACTATTTTAGGTTTCCTGAGTAATGTTTATAATGAAGCAAAGGAGAAGAGTTCAGATGAATTTTGTCAAATGAGTGACTAAAAAGATAATAGAAGGAAACAAATGTGAATCTCATTCTTCAGACGACTACCTAGATAAAGTACATATAAAAAATAATGGTCCTCAGATTGAATATCCCATCATAACAGCTCATCACTTGGAGGACACCACATTGTCCTTCACATCTTTTGACATGTTGGTGGAGATGTGCCACTTATTTATTTAAATAATACACAGTTCCTTGCTCGACAGTTATTCTATGTTGGAGGGGCCCACAGACTATTGGACAGATGTTTATGAAAGGGATTACACTCAAACCCTTTCTGGAATGGCAAAGGAAGAAGAGATCCGTACCGATTGCATACCGTGTACAAGTTATCCATTCTTGAGGCATAATTTCAGCAGAAAGTAGGATTCATGGTGACAAGAAGAGTCAACCGAGGAAAGAAAGATAACAAAGTACTTTCATAACTTGCGGATGAGTACTAATAACCTGATATTATAAATAGATTGAATTATAAAGCGACTTTATGTAGTGCTCAGTAGCCAGTGCCTTGATTAACATCTTTCAAAATTTGTCATTGCATTACCGTTTTAGAACTTATACTATGAGAGAATTACAATCAGATTTCAGAAAGAAAAAAAATTTAATTACCTTAAAATGGCTTTTTTATCCAGACACGACAAACAGTAAAAATATTTACTCAGATGCTACAAGATCAAAAATATTTACCCAGATACTACACTTGAAATCGTTCAGACAGTGAACGAGTTTAAATTTGTACAGAAGTTGTTCAGGCCAAAAACGACTTCAATGGGACCCACATCCAAAATATGAAAGTTGTTCTCGGTCTGAACAACTTTAGTGGGACCCACATCACAAAATGGAAGTTGTTCTTGGTCTGAACAACTTCAGTGGGACCCATTATATACATTTGTCTTACACTCCATGCGTTTTCATCTGCCTTTTCCAGCCCCACGCAAAGTGTTCCTTCCTTTTCCAAATATTCCCATCAATATAGAGTAGTCATTCCTTGTCTCTCATGTGTGAGTACTTTGTTTTTGCATGTGAGTGTATAGTATGAATTCTACTTATATAAGGCATTCGGCATTCTTTTTATTTAATTATTCCAAAATTATAACTAAAATTCTAAAATTATAAATAGAATATTATTATTTTTTATTTAATATTATTTATATTTAATTAATTCTAATTAATTAATATTAATTAGATATTAATTATAGATTTATTAAGGGTTAAGGTGCAATTTTAACAAAAATGTTTACCGTAAGGAGCACTGGGCACCATAAAGTTTATTTGGGTACAAAAATATACATGAAGTTGTCAAAAAGGAGCATCTGGCACCATGCCGTTAACGTCTGTTAGTTTATCGTTAGAGGGGCACAGAAAGTCAGTTTTAAGGTGCATTTTTAACAACAAAGTTTACATCAAGGGGCATTAGGCACCATGAAATTTACTTGGGTGTAAAAATATAAATGAACTTTGTAAAAGGAAAAAAATAACAAAATTCTTCAACTTCCATAAACATCCATTAATTTTATTCTTTTTGGTCTCACCAAATGCTATATTTTCTCTCTATAAATTTCCACTTCCAAGCCGATCCATCTTTCTCTCATCATAGTCAACACACACCCACACACTCTCTGTGGTGTCGTTTTCTGAGCCTCCAAACCTTTTATATGTATTTAAGCAAAACATATCTTTTCTTTCTAGGATATGAGGTTCATTACTTGCACCCGAGTACTACCTCCATTCCTTAATATAGGATACAATGGACTAATTTGAGGAGACTAAAATAAATAAATAAATTACTTTAAATATTATATTATTTATTTATTTGACGCAATAGCATATAGTACATGATCTCTCTAAAATATTTATATGCATCATTAAATTATATATTAGTTTACAAGCCAAGAAAATTAATTTGGAGAAAAAACAATAAATATAATATTTTAAAGTAATTTATTTATTTATTTTTAATCTCCTCAAATTAGTCCATTGCATCCTATATTAAGGACTGGAGGTAGTACTTGGATGCAAGCAATAAACCTCATATCCTAGAAGGAAAAGATGTGTTTTGCTTAAATACATATAAAAGGCTTGGAGGCTCAGAAAACGACACCACAGAGAGTGTGTGGGTGTGTGTTGACTATGATGAGAGAAAGATGGATCGGCTTGGAAGTGGAAATTTATAGAGAAAAATATAGCATTTGGTGAGACCAAAAAGAATAAAATTAATGGATGTTTATGGAAGTTGAAGAATTTTGTTATTTTTTCCTTTTACAAAGTTCATTTATATTTTTACACCCAAGTAAATTTCATGGTGCCTAATGCCCCTTGATGTAAACTTTGTTGTTAAAAATGCACCTTAAAACTGACTTTCTGTGCCCCTCTAACGATAAACTGATAGACGTTAACGGCATGGTGCCAGATGCTCCCTTTTGACAACTTCATGTATATTTTTGCACCCAAATAAACTTTATGATGCCCAGTGCTCCTTACGGTAAACATTTTTGTTAAAATTGCACCTTAACCCTTAATAAATCTATAATTAATATCTAATTAATATTAATTAATTAGAATTAATTAAATATAAATAATATTAAATAAAAAATAATAATATTCTATTTATAATTTTAGAATTTTAGTTATAATTTTGGAATAATTAAATAAAAAGAATGCCGAATGCCTTATATAAGTAGAATTCATACTATACACTCATGCAAAAACAAAGTACTCACGCATGAGAGACAAGGAATGACTACTCTATATTGATGGGAATATTTGGGGAAGGAAGGAACACTTTGCGTGGGGCTGGAAAAGACAGATGAAAACGCATGGAGTGTAAGACAAATGTATATAGTGGGTCCCACTGAAATTGTTCAGACCAAGAACAACTTCCATTTTGTGATGTGAGTCCCACTAAAGTTGTTCAGACCAAGAACAACTTTCATATTTTGGATGTGGGTCCCACTAAAGTCGTTTTTGGCCTGAACAACTTCTGTACAAATTTAAACTCGTTCACTGTCTGAACGATTTCAAGTGTAGTATCTGGGTAAATATTTTTGATCTTGTAGCATCTGAGTAAATATTTTTACTGTTTGTCGTGTCTGGATAAAAAAGCCCCTTAAAATCTATTGACAAGTAAAAAATAAATAATGACAAGTTTCAAAATAGAAAATAATAACAGATTCATACTAATCACTTGTTATTAAAATTTTTTGGTAATTAAAATTTTCTATTGACACCTCTTGATAATTTTCCCTATAACTATTAGATACAAAGATCTAACGTCAGAAGATAAAATTACAATAAGGATACCAATCTTCAATCTTAAATAAGTTGACTTTATCCCATCAACATACTACCTCTAATTAATTTAAGTAAATTAAAAAAATTATTTCAATTAATTATTTATAATAAATAGACATTACTTTTTTTAAAATACTCTTACTAAGTATATTTATTAGCTAAAACCATTGTTTGATGAAAAATTTAACATATGCAACTACTACAATAACTACCGTAAGAAAAAATAGACAAATATAGAAAAACAAAGTAAATTGAAATCTTATATTTAAAATTAAATTAAGTGTCAAACTAACTTGCATATTAAGAACAAAAATAGCATGAATATGTAATGTTTACTATAAAGCCAACGGTCATTTTAGATGGACATAATTACTTTAACTGGTTAACTCCAAGGCAACATGAAGAAAAAAAATTATATGCATGCGTTTTTTAATAGAGACCTTGAAATTCCCTTGTCCATTTTGCAGTGCAATCTTGCAAACATTATGAACACATGGAAAAGGAAAACATGAAACAAGATAAGGATTATCACGCATTGATGATTGCTGCTGTTGGGGAATAATAAATGGGGAATAATAAAAGCTTAACATAGGACACTCAGGAAAAGATAAGAAATGAGAGATTTTACGGAAAAATTCAATCTGTAAATGATATTTATATGACATGGCTCATCAATCAGAAATATATAACAGACACTTCCCAGTCAAAATTTACACATAAAATTACATGGATATTAATGAACAATTACCCTAAATTTCCAAGAAATCAAGCCCAACTTTCAAATAAAATCAAACTAGACTGGCTAAGCAGTTCAAATTTCTTCTGAAAGCAATAAAAGAGGAGTGAGAATAGACCTGTAACAGAAGACAGTCATCGGATTTAAAGATGATTCAGCTCGGGGGTAAAAAAGGTCTTGCAGATCTATTGATTAAAGAAAGGGAAAATTTGAATCAATCATAACAGAACTTCAGGTGTAAAATAACCCACGAACAGATGAAACTCTCCCATAATAATCTCCACAAAACTTGCATCGTGGTGGCAATTTAAGTACTATCAATAACATCAGTAGCATGGCTAATTACATTATCACTGGTTCAGTAATTTTGAACTATGCGTTCCAAGACACACCAGGTAAATCAACAACTCACAGGATAACAGGCCATAACATTCAGGAGTTCCCGCCAGAAGAGCCAATTAGGCTCAGCTTCACAGCAAGCATAAATCTTAGCTCAAATTCGTTCATCAGCTTCTCAGCTTTAGGTGTATTCACAATCCAAACCCAGATTTCCAAGTTTAGACCAAACTTGCCTCAGCTCAGTTAAAGCAGCATCAACAACTAGAGAAGTGCCAGTCAACTCATAAATTTACAAGATGAAAAGGTGACAATTTAATAATGGGCCCTCTCATCATTCTCTAATTGCAAGCTTTCGATGCCTCTGACAGCTGATTCATAATTCTTGACATGAGAAGCATTTCTTCCAGAAGATATTCTCTTTGCATCTGAAGCTATCAATGGTGAACTTCTGTGACCACTAGTAATTCTGTGAGCAGCTCCAGGGCTAGCTTCAGTAGCGCGAGTACGCGGATCTGACTCCCCGCCAACAAATGCATCACGGCCAGCAACTCGCCGAGATGACCCACTTGACTGGCCCAAAATATTGTTACTTGGAGACTGCGGGACACAGATCGTGGCTGTTAAGTTGGAATATAAAAGTTTGTTTCTATAGTGAAATCATCATTCATATTTATCAGTCGATGAGTTACAGAAGAACAGTGACCAGATTTCTCAATGAAACCCATGTTCTCTGAAATCCAAACATCCAACTGCAGGATCATTAAACATAAGAGGATTATTGGCGGATGGATTTTTCTGCTTCGAGAAACTTACAGAATTTAATATGGGACCTGACATTCTTCGCCTCACAGAATCCATTGAAACAAGACCAGGAGTTCGCCCTTCATCCCCTCCTATCAGGAAGACAGACAAGCAAGCACAAATCAGAGCTCAAAAGCAAACTAGCTACCACTTAAATTTTGAGAAATTTAAAAAAGGATAAAATAGGAGAGAAAGACAAGCCAAGCTATCAGCATAAAACCTATACCAGTGTTCAGCTGAAACAAAGAATCGGCAACACCAAAGGTAAATAAGACCATACTCTTCAAATAACAAGAAATGATTGGAGAGCAACACACACACAGAAGGAACAATTTGATAGTGTCAGGGGTAGTGATTAAGCAGTAAAGTATCCAGGAAAACCAAACACATACCAAAAAACACAATTGCGAATAAAGCAAACCAAGTTTGTATATAACAAAGAGATATAGATAAGATATTTGACCTATCTATAAAATAACTTCAGAAATATTACCTGTCTGCCTATCGGCACTAGCCACAACAGGAGGCATTCCAGAACTAGTTCCAGCACTTGGGCCCTGAAAAACAACCATCTCAGGCTTCTAAACATTGACCATGACAAAAAGGATCATGGGAGAAACAAAAAGAAGAGAAAGACAGTTACAAGGCCCCGTGCAGGAGGAGTAGCCAGCTGTGATTGCTGATACTTCAAGATAGTCCAGTCAAAAACATAGTCAAACTGAAAGCCTAACAAGGTTGCCACAAAACACAATCAAGAAAGTATGCTAACAAAGTCCTTCAAAAATGGAAATGAAAAGTTCGTCTGCAAGTAAACACGTGGTCAACATAAAATTGCAGACTAAAGAAGTGAATTCTAAAAGAACATAAGTTCAAACCTTCACGAATAAAGAGGTCACGAAATATTCTTTTCAGGTAAGCATAATCTGGCTTATCATCAAACCTTAATGATCGGCAGTAGTGGAAATAAGATGCAAATTCTGTTGGATAACCTCGGCACAGTGCCTGGAATAAAGAAAATAGTCTCAGCATAACCCAGGAAACCTAACCCATACCATGCAAAGGAGGCTAGCTGTAAAATTTACCTCGATTGAGGTAGAAACCTTCTTTTCACTGATTTTCTCATACTTCTGCTTCTTGGTGCCAGCTTTAAGCCCCTGCCAAGGAAGACTACAGAGAAAATACAAATTTAGCAAAAATTTTCAACACAGCACTGGAAAAAAAATAAAGGAGGGCAGACGGCTATAATCACCTTCCTCTCAGAAAGTACATGAGGACATAACCAAGAGACTCTAAATCGTCTCTTCGACTTTGCTCTGTGAATTGATCATTGCAAAAGAACAAACATCACATATCTAACAGAGGACACCACAACTTATCACAAAACGGGGGTGATGAAATATAAAATGACACATACCAATGCCAAGATGAGTGTTCATGCTAGCGTATCTAGCAGTTCCTGTCAAATTCTTATTTTCCCTGCAGTTGTAATGATCAAATAGATCATAAATCCTGTGATTCTTTTATGTAATAAATTATCAGGGGAAACGGCTAAATTATTGTTAGAAATTCAGGAGAAGAAGGGGGAATAAGATGGAAGTGGAGGTCTGTAATCATGTGGAAATCTCACGTGACAGCTCCCTTCTATAAATAAAACTCGAAAGAAAAATAATAAGAAGACAATAAAAAGATAATTAAGACTCCTAGACAGTAATTGATTCAAATTGTGCGTTGAAAGCCTAACTTCTGAATCAAAAACCAAATCAAATCTTACAGTTTAGAAATACAATGAACAATGGCTTGAAATAGATATCACATTAAGTGCATATTAATTTAAAAAATTCAAAATAATAAATTAAACGAGGATAAACAGAAATTTAACTATAAATCTCACAAAACTAAACTATAAGTCTCATGACCGACTAACTAATAACTCAATTTATGAATTATTTTTCAATTTTTATTTTTTTTAAAAAAAAAAAAATTGATTTCCATATCCTGCAAAGGTTTGGGTTTCCAGTGTGTTACAATGTATTGATCGTGTAGGTAACGTGACATTCCAACATGGTGCATGCTGTGCTACTACTGTGCACATAAAGCTATAAGTGAAAGCGAGTCGACATCATTTCACTTATGAGAAGGAAAAACAGTTTCAATAAATACCATGCATATGAACAAAATACTTCAATTAACTGAAATGTCCCTAGCTAGCATGAATCAAAGAAGAACGATTGGAGCAGTAATCTGTATCAATGGACTAACAAATCAATTAGAACTGTAATGTCAAGTTGGGTCCCTTGTGGCACCATCCTTAGCACCCCCGAGCAAAATTCAGCATGATAAACACAGTACAAGTGAAGTAGCACTTAAAACTTAGCATAGGACCAACAAAAAATTCAAGCTAAAGTATATATTACACAAAGAGGGCATGATTTATTGTTTATTTAGCTTATTACTCCAAGAAAATGTTTGTAGTGATTCAAATGGGCTGATAATGCAGGATTTTTTGCAAATGTAATCTTGGAAGTGGACGATTCAGCCTCTGTAATATTTCCACATGCTGATTTAGCAAACTCATTCGTTATTACATTCTAAAAAAGCATTACTACAATGTCACGAAAGTATAGCATTTCATAAAATTTTCTGGCATTCAAGATTATGACATAAATTTCATTTTCATGCTGAGCCCAAACAACAGCAATGAAGCCACATTTTATACACATAACAAATCTTCATACCTGTAAGGAATGTGTTGATGAGTTGAACTATCTCTATATTTCTTGGCCAAACCAAAGTCAATAATATAAACCTACAAGCAGATAAAAGTCATTAACCACTTTTATAATAAACAATATGCCAAAGGATAACAGACCATGTGAAAGTAAAATTAGCCACCTGGTTTGCACGCCTTCCTAAGCCCATAAGAAAATTATCTGGTTTGATGTCCCGATGTAGAAATGATTTGGAATGAACAAACTCAACTCGATTGATCTGGAAAATGATGTCAAAATCAGAAACACTTATATTAAGTTAATTCAAGTTATATATATATATATATAAAATATATATCTCTAAATTACAAGGTCAACAGGGCCTACCATTTGATCAGCAAGCATGAGAACTGTCTTCAGTGATAACTTCCTACTGCAGAAGTTAAATAGATCTTCAAGACTGGGTCCAAGCAGATCTATCACCAGCACATTGTAATCCCCCTCCACTCCGAACCATCTAACATTTGGAATTCCAGCTGCAAAGACAAAATCAGATATTAGCTGGCATAAATTTTACAACGATATGTTTGTTGGGGGGGGGGGGGTTCTCACAGAGAAGTGTATGATAATGGAAATATAAAAGCAAAAAGATAATAAAAGAGACCATACTTCCTCCCTGGAGAATTCTGTACAGCTTGGACTCATACAACAACTGAGGATGCTTTGTCTTGACATTTTCCTAGTCAAAAGGGAACGAAAATAAATAAAAGGAACACATCAACTGTAGTGCGCCAGAAGATACAAGAAACATCATGATGGCTGCTTAAAGTAAAATGCAACCAGAAATTAAGACGTTTCCCTAACCAATAAGCTACAGAGATCAAGAGTCATATGCACAAAGCCAAAATTGCAATCATGAAAGATGACTCTCATTCAAAGACTAACATAGATGCCCGCTCATAATATGTCCCATACAGCAGTCTTTGTTCCTAGAAAAAGAAATTCACTAATAATCATAAGTTTAAACAGCCACTCTATTTAAGGACGATCTCCAACCAAAAGTGAATAATGGATAGACAACAAGAGCATCTAAAAAGTTTGACCTTGCACTTAAATAAGGTTTCCACACTAGAGTGGAAGAGTAATTATTTTCAAATATCTTATTATCTAAAGTAAATTACCTCCAGATAATCATTGCATAAAAAATTACCAGACAATTAGAATCCATCTAACAACCAATGACCAACTTGATTTTGCTCTTAGCTAGAAAATATTGTCACTTAGAGGAAGATTACAATTCTCAAGCATATTGAAGATATCATTGTTTAAATCAGAAATACGGCAGAAAAACCTAATCCCCAAGTAATGAGTTTAGTACATTTTACTATACTTGAGAATACGAGAATAGATTTTATAAGCAACAAAGCTCGCCAATAGTCTGATTCCTATACCACACAGCTTCCCTTCATCCCTCATTTATTAAAATTTGTTTTCACCAAACCATTAGGAGCAATGCTCAACTATGATCAGAAATGGGTCGACATGATTCAAAACACCAGAAGCAACTTTTTGAAACCAAGTTAAAAATTAAAATGTGACAACAAGCATAAATCGTTCAAAATAATGTCCTTAATAAGCGATAAATTTGAAAGAATGAACTAAAGTACAGTCCCCTAAAAAGAAAAATTCTACAGAAGACTTTGAACTTGATTGCAAACAGCCCTGAGTTACAAATCAAGACTCCTTAAAAACAGTCAAGTGTATACTAAAGGTAACGGCCGGTTTCTAAATGCTCCCATGTCTCTTGTAACACCCCTTTTCAACGATCGCTCCCTATCACACTCTCAAGACTTCGCAAGAAGGAACCCGGCTCAGCGAAGACGTTGGGATCAAGAAAGAGTAGCAAAAAGCAATCTTTGAGCACTTCCAAATTAAGACTGTGAGGTATGAATGCAACTCAAAACTGAACTTTCAAACAAATCACAGATAAATGATAAACAGAAATAGACCTCAAACAAAACCATCTGCCGCAAATAACTTCACAGAAAAAGGAAATACAAAACCCTTGTACTGCGATTACCTTCACAGAAAAACAATTTCAGAACGGAAGTATAACATATAAAACCTCGTCAGTAACACTTACAAGCTTAATTGCGACCTCTTCGTTAGTTTGAATATTAGTACCTGCATAAAACCCAGAAAAAACAAATACCCAATCAGCATATCGCCCAAAATAATATAAGCAGCAGGAGAAAATGAAAAGAGATAAAAGGAAACAAACCCAGATAGATCTCGCCAAAGGAACCGCTGCCGATCTTGCGGCCGAGCCGAAACTTATTGCCAACACGGGGTTCCATTCAAAAAGCGAAAAATGGAAACCCTAAGCTAACAAGGGCACCTAATTCTAAATAAGAGAAGTATGCGACATCAAATATTCTCCGAACCCACAACTGGAATCCATGAATCCGATACGAGCGAAGAACAGCTAAGGAGAAGAATATTTAAAAAAATTAAATTTAATAAAAAGGGCAAGGGAAAAAACGAAGAATTTCTTCAGAGATCTGGGGGCAGAAAATCTCCCGTATGATAAAAAGTTAGCCCTTTTTTTTTTTTGATGAATAATAGTTACAAAATCTAGGGTTAGGTCAGGTGAAAAGGAGGAAGGGTTATTGGTTGAAGAAAAGGCAAGGAGGAGGGGTCATGGTGAAGGAGACGGATGATAGGGCATTCTCAGTTCTCTCTCTTTCTCTCCCCGTTCCCACCAATTCGAGTACGGCATTTGTTTGATCCCGTCGAAGCATAGAGCTGCAAGATTGCAACCGTCGGTTAATATGGTTTTTTGTTTTCTGGGATATATGTCTAATGGGAATAGGAATACCACGAAACGAGAAGCATGTCCACGCGCTTGTTGCGTGCAATCTACGTGTGGCCACTACAAAAGAAGCATTGGCGCCGCAGTGCTGGTGTGTCCCACCGCCACTTGCTTTATCATCCATCCCGGATTGTTGCGGAGCGTCCTATGGGAAGGTGACTGCATGAGGTGTCATGTGTCGTATAGACAGGACAGGGATCACTTGTGAAGAAAAATCATTTTAGTTAGTCAGTTTAATATTTTAATTTTTTTAAAAAAAATTTCTATGGATATTGGCCTGTTCATCCTCATGGAGATGACACAATCATTATATACTCTATTTTTTATGGTAATTTCTTGTGGTTACTTTTTCCCCTCTCATTTTCTATTATTTTCTCTTGTTTTACTTTTCTATTATTTTTATTGTTTAGTCATTTCTTAATTTGCTCAACTGCGACACAGTGACAGGAAATATATAATGAGAGATTAACTTTCCATTATTGAGTTTTTGAAGGATAAAATCATTTAAGATCTTTAAAGCAAGCCATTCGTTGAATTATCATGAAAAACTTTTGCCTCTTAAAACTTAAAATCCCACTTGAAAGTGAATACGAGGCAGGCTTACGGCTAATAAGCCTGGTCATATTTTGCCCAACGCTCAATGATTCGCATTTCTGTCCAGTTCCGCCGTGTTCAGTCCTAGTTAGCTGTTAATCAGATTTGAAGATCCATAAAGAAGCTTGAATTGAAAGGGAGACACGTTGACCATATTAAGAATCTCAAATTTTCAAACTATCGACTTTGATTGGACTATCAGATTTCAGAGATTGGACAAAGCCAAAATTTAAGGCTCTTGCAAATCTCTATCTATATCTATATGTGATGAGTCTGCAGAGCAAAAGATTTCACTTTTTAGGAAGAGTCTCCCCGCATCATGGTTCTTTGATCCTGACCCTTTTACTTCCCCATGCCAAGACCAGTCAGCGTGCATATAAAGTTGCAAAGATGACTTCGGGACTTGATCACAACATGATCACTTCATGGTCACCGTTTCTGCTTTTTTGGAGCAAGGATGTTGAGGTGCTATAAGAGATATAATTATTTGCCTTGATTATCATGAAGAATGATGGTGCCATCGTTGAGCGGCACATAAAACTCAATACAGCAAGTGATGATGCCTTTTGTCGTCAAAGCACTCAATTAAACTAGGTCATAATTAATTTGTAGTTTAGGATCGACCTAGGTCATTACTTCCAAGGAGCAAGTTGTAGGTTTCTTTAGGTAAAAATTTAGGTGATAAAAAAAAAATTGGACCTAAACTAAAATGCAAAATTCTAATTCTAAATGCAAGATGCAAATGCCCTAAAATATGTATGAAAATTAAATGAAACTAAATGAATGCAATGCAATTTTTGGGGGGTTTTTTGAAGGAAAATAAAAATAATAAATAAAGAAAATTAATCAGAAAGCAAAGAGAATCAACAAGTAAAAATTCAGAAATTTCTCTTCAGATACGGTAGAGGGGACAACTCAGGATTCGCATGAATTTAACCTTCATAACCTTAATTAGTTAATTAGACCAAAGGGAGGTGATAAGAGAGTGGAATTAATAAACTTAATTACCTACTTGAAATAAAGGAAACCCTCAACTTCAAAAACCCTTAAACCATTAGAGAACTCATAACAGTGTAAAGTTGGTTAATTAAGCCTATTAAAACCAATGAAGATAATTCAATTTAATTTTAGAAATTATGTTTGAAATTATCCAATTAAACAATCAGATAATCAACCAACTTAATTAAACAATTAAGAGGTGAAAAAACCCAAATTTTGCAATTCAAACCACATTGATAATTAAACTCATAATGAAAACTCAATTATAAATTCAATTAACAATGCAAAGGTTCCAAACATATATTCCAACAAGTATCTTGGCACAAATAAGATCCAAATATCAATTTAATCCAAGAATAAGATTGACAATCTAGAACTAAATTGTCTCAACAAAATTACAACTTGAACTCATTTAAAACTAAACAATTTAAAGTCCTTGAATTAAAAAGATAAATGGAATATCACTTCTTGTGGTCTTCAAGTGCTAGCTCAAGGTTCTAGTCTCCTTCATGCTCCTCTCAAGTTGCCTCCCACACAAGCTTAAGCTTCCATGGTATTATCTCCTCCCTCCACGCTGTTGGAAATCATGGCCACCATAGTTAATGGAGAATGGAGAATAAAATGCTGAATTTATGTGGCACGTGGAACGAAGGAGTTGGTGATGAAGATTGGATGGCTTTTGTGCGTAGGGAAAAGATGTGAATTTTTGATTGAAGCGTGATGTCCAGCGGCTGAATGGAGAAGGAGAAAAGTCTCCTTAGGTGTTCAATTGTGCGTGAATGAATGGAGATGGAAGTGGTGTCCTCTTAGGCATGAATCCTCCTCTCAAAATAAAGAAAATAGTTTAATGAGGGAAAAGGAAATTTTTGTGGATCCAAAGCTCAAGCCCATTAGTAATTAATTGACCCACTAGATATTAACCATTGGATTGTGCTTAAATCCCAAGAAACAATCTTGCACCATTAGATCTCCTATATACTCTTTCTTGACCTACAAGAATTTAAGTGCATCTATTAATGTAGATTATACCCAAATATAATAAAAAATTAAATGTCAGATATGCACAAAAATTAGGCAAGAAATTGCAAAACTTTCTAAAAATAATCTTTCTAAAAATATAAGACTTGTTTTCAAAGAAATAGGAAAAATTAATTCCAAGTCAAAATCCGAAATCACAAAACATCTATATTTTTAATCCTAAATCTCAATTTTCATGCAAAATCCAAAAATCAATCAATTAATCTAATTATGCATAAAAATTCAATTAAGCTTAAAATTATCATTTAAATCATAATTTAATGTGAAATAAAATGTATAAAAATTGGGCTTTATCAGCAGGAGAACCCAAAAAACAGATAGCTAACACAAGAATCAAGAACCAAACGCACACTAAAAGGGTGTTTGGATGAAACCAAACCATGGTTTGGAGAATAGCTTTTAGAGAATAGATTTTGTGAAAAAGTGATTCTGAGAAGTGAGAGTGTTTGAATAGTTGTTATCAAAAGCATTTTTTATATATACAAATTACTAAAAAAACATAAACTAATATGATAATTACATAAAAGATAAATTTTATGATATATTTTAATTTGAAGGAATAAAATTATTAATAATATATTTTTTTACCAACATAATTAATAATACATAAGATAAAATAATTAATAAATAATTAATATGGGTATATATTTATAAGATATAAAATTAAATATGTTTATAAAAAAATAATTAAGGGATGTTTAAGTCATATTTTTGTTGAGATCTACTCTAACAAGCACAAGCATACTCTCTAATTTGAGTTAGAAGCAAAATGAATTCACTTCTTCTGAAACCATGGTTTTGATCGAAAACCATGGTTTGTCAATTTCTTCCCCTGTGTGGCAAGTTTGGAACCAAGGGGGTGTTTGGGTGATAACCCAAACCATGGTTTGGGGACCCAAATCATGATTTGGGAAAAAAATCACCCAAACACCCTTAAAAAACCAAAACCATGGTTTTGGGAAAAGTAAAAATTTTTTGCTTTTGGAAAAAAAAGAGAGAGTGTGAGAGCTTATAGGATATATATCTTGTTTTTTTTATAAACATATTTTTTTATAAATATATTTAATCTTATATCTCATAAATATATATATACATATTAATTATTTATTAATTATATTATCTTATGTATTATTAATTATGTTAATAAAAAATGTATTATTAACAATTTTATTCCTTCAAATTAAAATATATCATAAAATATATTTTTTGTAATTATCATATTAACTTATGCCTTTTTTAGTAATTTGTACATGTAAAAAGTACTTTTGGTAACAACTATCCAAACACTCTCACTTCTCAGAATCACTTTTTCACAAAATCTATTCTTCAAAAAATCTATTCTCCCCATAATCTATTTTCCAGAAGCTATTCTCCAAACCGTGGTTTGGTTATATCCAAACACCCCCCAAAACCATGGTTTTAGAGGTTGGCCAAACAGGCCGACTGTGTTTGGATGACAAAGCAAACCATGGTTTGGAAGCTTAAACCATGGTTTGCACATGAAATCATCCAAACAGGCAGGCATAAAATTGAAAACGTGGTCCAGGCTGAAACCATGGTTTCATCAGAAGCAACAAATTGTTGCTTCTGACTCTTTCTAGCTCTAATAATTGAAGGCAACGGCAACCCAAAAATACCCTCAGCGCTGGCTGACACTTTGGTGTTTCTCTCGCTCTGCTCGCGCCTTCATCAGAGGAAGCTCGCCTCTTTCTTTGCTCGTCGATTCTCTCATCTCGTGTAGCTGCTCTGAATTTCACCGTCGCTCTTCACTTCGCCATTGCTGCTCGCATCTCTTCACCGAGCTCGCCTGCTCGCCTCTTCGCTCTTGACTTCGCCGTCGATACTCTGCATTTCGTCGATGATCTCCACTCAACTCGTCTCTTAGCTTCATCAGCTCACCTCTTCCCCCGTCTTTCGCCGTTGCTGCTCTGATATTTGTACACCAGTGAGATTGTGGAGGCTCTGAATTTGTCTCATTGGGTTGTCCGATCTCTTAATCCTCGGTTTCCAATCTAAGGTTGTTCAGTTCGCCCAGTCAGGTCACCGTGTAGAGCTTGGTTGGTCAGATTTTCGACTCAGGTAAGCTCTCTCCGGTGACATAAAAAATTTTATGTTGGCTTCAGTATTTTCCCTGTGGTAAACCGAAAGATTCTGGAATGATTTGGCTGTAGTGTTCTACTATGCTCTTCGAATTGTAGCTCGGTTTCCTGGTTGTGGATCTGATTTGTTTGCAAACTTCCTCCCACTTTCGTTTTTGAATTTGTTCATGACCGGCATGTTGATCGAAGAGCATGAGATATTATTGCTTGCTTTGGTTCCGTC